AGTGCGCCGCTGCCGCCGGGCAGCAAGCGTGGGCTCGTGGGCCTCCGCGAAGATGTCGTGCCTGAGCCCTCCGTCAGGCAGTGGATCAGCGCCTGCAGGGCTAGCCGCCTCCTTGCCAGTGCCTCCGCTGGGAAAGCTGCGGCCTCCCTTGGCGGCTCGGCCCTTGCCGCTCGCAGCCGCCTTGCTGGCGGCGAGGCGCTGGCGGCCTGCCTCCAGGACGCCCACGGCAGCAGCCACCGCGCCTGGGGCGCCCGCACTCGCAGCAGCAGCAGGAGCGGCTGGCGAAGCAGGCGGCGGCGTCGGCGGGGCGGCAGCCTGCGAGCCGCCAGCGGGAGGCGCTGCGGCTGGCTCAGCGGGCGGCTGATCACCTGCAGGACCTGGTGCACCCGAAGCCTCCTGCGGCGGCTGAGGCGGCGGGGAGGTCGTGGCGCGCCGCTTCTTCTTGAGTCGGGCTCGCAGCTCGCGATGGGCCTTCTCCAGAGCCTCCGCCTCCGTCTTGAACTGGCCGAAAGCGTCCTGAGCCATGGCCGCGAAGCGAGCCTGGAGCTCCTCGAGCCGCCGCTGCGCCTCCTGCCGATCGCTCTCCTCCACCTCGTAGTCTTCCAGGGCCTCCAGGCCGAAGAGGCCTTCGTCGTCCAGCTCCCACGCCGCCTTGCCCGCCAGCAAAGCCGAGACGCTGAGCTTGGGCACCGCCGACGCGGACGGGCCTGTCTTGCCCTCGATGCCCACTGGCGCCACCGACACCGCCAGAGCCTGCACCGCGCTGGTGTAGATCGCCTGCGCGCCGTCCAGAGCGGCAGTGCACTTGGCGACCCGCTCCGTGGCCTGGTCGAGCCTCTGCTGGAGCGCGTCCGCCTCCTCCAGCGCGGCGTCCAGGGCTGCGGCAGCAGCATCTCGCGCAGCGCCAGCCTCTGCCACAGTGAGGGGCCTGGCCAAGCGCTGTGCGCGGAGGGTGTCCAGCTGGTGCTTATACTTGGCGACGGCGGGCTCGTCACCTGAGAATCGGAGGAGCTCCACCAGCTGGACCAGCTTGGCCTCCTCGGGGTCAGCGTCGGGCGCCAGTGCCTGGTCCGCGTCGGCCGCGATGCGCACTCCTCGGCTGGAGCTGCGTGGGCGTCCTCCAGCGCCGCGAGCACCGCCATCGGGAACCCCGTCGCGGCGCGACCCCGCGGCATCCTGGCGCCATGGGGGTTCGCGAGCAGCACGTCCGAGGCTGGTGGAGCGGCGGCGGCTGCCAGCGCCACCGCGAGCAGCTTCACCAGCTGGCACCAGCTGGAGCGGGCGCTTGCAGTGACAGCACCACGTCCACCAATGCTCGTTCTTGCGGCACCCGCAGTGCGCGCACGCCTGGGCGCGCCCGCCGCTGTTGCCGCTGCCAGCCATCGCCATGGCGTCGTCGTCGTCCCCAGTGCCGCCGCTGCGGGCGAGAGCCAGCAAGGGCGCCGCCGAGCCGTGGTGCCCGTCGAGCAGTGCCGCGGCGGCCTCCAGCTGGGCGCGCTGGCGGTGGGAAGGCGTGCCCCGCCACGCGTGCAGAAGAGCGCGTGCCGCAGCACGCGCGCGGCGCTCGCGCCTGTGCCACGCCGCCTCCGTGGGCAGCGCGATGGTCCCCGCCCGAGGGGAGCCTGCGGCGGCCTGTCCGCCCCCAGGCCTTTGGGCAGAAACTCGGCCGTGGGAAGAAGGACGCGGGGCAGGAGTGACCTGGCGCTTGGCCGCGAGGGGGGGCAGCAGATGGGGGGGGGCCGATCGAGGATCGCAAAAGGGTTGCCCTGGAGGGGGCCCAAAGGGGCGGTAGACTGTCACCGCAGGCCCAAAAGGTGCCGGCCCCCTCGACCTGCACCTTCTGGACCTTCCGCGCGACAGGTGCCACGTTGCCGCGGCCGCCGCCGCGGCCGCAGCGGCGGCCCCGTCGAGACCGCAGCGGCGGCCGCGGCCGCGGCCGCATCGCGCCAGCACCTTCCGCGCGGAAGGTGCGACATGTGCAGGTCGGGTCGAGGGAAAGGCGCGCGTGTTTGTTCGCCTTCCTCGGTACTGCGCTTACCAGCGTAGCACGGCGCGGAAGGAAGGCAGCGTGGACCACTGACCCTGGGGATGCCCAGCGTCCATTTGCAGGTAGCCCGCACAGTTTCGATCCAGGCCAAGGCTCAAGCTGTAGCTACGGGTCACGACCACAGTTCGAGGAAGCGCAAACATGGATCAAGGCGCGTGGACTAGCGACGGGTCCCGTTTCAGTACAGAGTCGGCGACCTCCGACGCAAAATCGGGCGGTATTGGCGCCCTGTTACGCGCGTTACTTGCCCTGATCCTTGGACCTGGCGCCCACGCGCCAGGTCCACGCATCCCTAATCCATGTTAGCCAGTGCCTCCACAGTTCCCCCCCCCCCCCCGTTTTACTTGGAATTCTCCCCGTCAACGAGCGCCCGAGGGGTGCAGGGGCCCCAAAACGTCCGCACCGAAGCAGGCTCGGCGGCGTCGAAACGCCGGCAGCGCCTTGCTGGAGTGCTCCGTAGTTGCTGCGTTGGTTGGCCGTGCACCGTCCCCGTCCCCTCTTCCGGGGGAGGGGCGCCGATGCATCCGCTAGTTTGCTCGACGTGGAGCACGACTTTCCCCATGCCGACGTCGCCGGTGCATCGACGAATGGAAACGAGAGGCGGACGGAGAGCGGGGACCAGGACATGGGGAGAGGGAGAAGGAGGAACCAGATGGGAAGGGTGTGAGGTGAGGGGAGTGGGGAGAATGGTGGAAAGGCAGGTGAGGGAGCGCGCAAGAACGAAGGCACGGGTGCAGATGCAGAACTCCCAGCGGTGCAGGCAGCCGAGCCGACATAGAGCACACAAGCACACACATCCTACGCACAGTCTTGCGGCGTCGATCGGGAGAAGCGAAGTCCGAGGATGACTACATGGTGCCCTCTCCCTCGTCTCGCCCCCCTCGCGGACGGCGACGGGCTCGGGGAGTGGGCCAGCAGTACGAGCGCAGGGGGAACAAAGAGGCACCGACACCGCCACGTATACACCTTAGGCGATGCTTAAGAAAACCCAAGTTTTCGGCCAGAGGCTCGATTATTCTTAACTTTTCAATGTAAATCCCAAGATTCTGATAGAAGTTCTGGGTTTTATTCAAGTTCTGAGACTATGAATTTCTTAACCCATGATTTCTTAAGCATTTCGCAGGGTGTATACTCCTCTGACCCGTCCCCGGGCGCGTTCTGACCAAGATTTCCAGACGAGCCCGGCCGTGGCGACGAGGCCTCCCAAACGGGGTCGGAGCAGACGGGGGTCGAAGGATCGCGCCCATGTTCCTCCTCCCCTCCCCCGGCGACCCCTCCTCCATCCTCGCCCTCCCCTTCCCAACCTCACGCTTACTTTATCTCTCCTCTTCTTCATCTCACTCATCATCATCATCATCATCATCATCATCATCATCATCATTCTCGTCCTCATCCTCATCCTCATCCTCATCCTCATCCTCATTATCATCAGCATCGTCATCATCATTATCATCATCCTCATCCTCATCCTCATCATCAGCAGCATCAGCATCGTCATCTTCATCTTCATATTCATATTCATATTCTTCATCATCAGCACCATAGTCAGCATCATCAGCATCACCATCAGCATCATCATCATCGTCACCACATCTCCTCGTCTCCTTTCCCTCGTTCGGTTCCTCCTCCTCCTCCCGCCCCTGCCCACCAAGGAGAAAGAAGGAAGCGCAGTAGGAGGAGGAGCAGGAGGAGGAGGAGGAGGAGGAGGAGGAGGAGGAGGTTCGGGAGGCGGGAATTTTTCAATACAGTGGGGGCGCTGAAAAAGCAACCCTTCTCGCTGGGGAGGGGCTCGGTGTTCCTTAATTGTTCCACACCTTGCCCAAGATTTCCTCAGATTTCCGATGGCGAAGTCGAAATTCAACTTATGGAAGAAGGGGCCTCGGTGCTTTATTTAGGGCTCCTTAGGTCAACGCCTCGACTGTGCCCGCTCGACGACCTCGCAGGGGCCTGCCGAGAGTTGTCTCCGGTCGCCTGGGCCTCGCCTTGCTGGCGCGAGCGTCTACCGGGCAGCTCCCGGAGTCCCGGAGGCGCTCCTCCGGGCAGGAGGCGCGGCGGCCTCCTCGTCGGCGGAGTCGCTGTCCAAGGGGCGGGCGCGACCCGCCTCGTCGGCGGGGTGGATCACGCGGGACGGGAGGGGGCAAAAACACACAGACACAACGAATCGTCGATTCCCAGGAAAATATAGGAAAATATGGGAAGTGGGGGGGAAGACGGAAATCCCAAGAATATGCTGAAATATGGGGAATCCTGTTGCTTGTGTGCATTTAGTTGTGTGTCCCTGGGCCCCTTCAGCGGTCCGCTGCTCCTTGCTCTCTTTGCGGACCAGATTACCCTCGGGCGCGCGATCTTGCCTACCCTCCGCTCCGCAGATATGCCAGATGCTCGGTGCAGCTTGGAAGAATCCGTGCATGCAATATATGTCAATCCATCACGCGGGTAGAGCACAGGTTCGCATGCCTGCAACCGCAGTTCGTTTGGACGAATATGCAAACCTGCGGTTCTGCTTGCGGCTTCGAATTGGCAATCGCTTTCCATGGCTCCGAAGATTACCGCGAAGGCGTGCTGCAGGCCAATCAGCACGCAGTCCTTCGGGCAGGGCATCTCTGCTTCGAGGGGGTTGGTGTGAAGGAGGCCGTTGTCGCTGGCGATCTTGGCTTCCGTGTGCATTCTCGCAGGAGGATGATTGAGAGGAGGAAGAGGACAAACGAGGGTGGAAGAAGAAGAAGAAGAAGAATAAGAAGAGAAAGAGGAGCAGGAGGAGCAGGAGGGAGAAGAGGACGCGGAAGAGGAGGAAGGAGGAAGAAGGACGAGCAGGCGGGTGGAGGAGGAAGAGGGGGCAGAGGGAAGGACGAGGATGAGGAGGAAGAAGATGAAGGTGGACGAGGAGGAGGAGGAGGAGGAGGAGGAGGAGGACGACGACGACGACGACGACGATCGCGACCTGCGGGCGCAGGTCCACGTCGGCGATCTCGAGCCCGAGGCGCCCGGCCTCCCGCGCGCCACGGAGGTCCACGACCTCGTCGGTCTCGTCGGTCTCCGTCACCGACGAGGCGGCCCGCTCCCTCCCGCTGCCTCCGCCTGCGGCGGCCAGGGGCGGCCAAGAGGGGGGGGGATGACTTGCGAAGGGGGGGAGGTCTTGGCATCGCTCGGATGTGTGCATGTTTTCTCGGCGAGGACCATCGAGGACCATCCTGGACCATCGAGCAAAAAACACATGCACGAAACCGACACGTGCACGGGAAATGGACGTCTGAGCGACGGCAAGGGGGGGGGGGATATCATGGCGGGGGCCGTGACATCTCCCCAGATGTCATGGCGCCTCTTCTTCTTTCAAGACATCTCAGGCCTCCCCCCGGGCCGCGCACATGCCGCCCGCCATGATGTGCGCCCCCCCCTCTTGGACGCCCTCCTCTTGGGCGCCCCCGAGGCAGGCTCGCGGCGCGCCGTCGCAGCGACAGCGACGCCGCCGCGGTCGTGCGTGGTCGAACGGCTGCCCGAATCGCCCAGTCTGGGCGCTTCGGCCCCTCGCTGCGGCACCCTCGCGGTGCAGTTCTCGCAGTGCGCAGTTCGCGGAGTCGCCCAATGTTCTAACGATCTGGCGATCGATGATCGCGTGTCAGATTGTTTGAAACCATGGGGTCGTCACGACGCGAGTTTCCGCGTGTTCCGAAGAAGAGAAAGCAACATGAGCGTGAATGTTCTTGAATCGGCGCTGGACCGCTACGGCATAGTAAGCAGAAAGTGTCGCATCCTTCCCTCCTGATCCCTCCCCATCTGTCCCGTTCCCTTCTCTCCTTCCCCCTCTCCTCGAGGCCACCGTAGCCGAACATCTCACGCTGTCCCAGAATATGACGCTTATTGAAGTCCCTCTTTAGCTTACAGGCTTCATGTTTCATCGGCCTCGCCATCCAATATTCTCCCTCCCCCTATTCTTGGTTCATATCAGAAGCGCTCTGGGCGTCTTCTTTTACTGCTTCGTATGGTTGTGAGTTCTTGCCAGGCCGAAAACGATAAAGACGAAGACGGAGAAAAGACGGCTTGAGCCTACGCTTTCGGAGAGGCTCCGGCCAGTCCGTCGCCGATCGGGGGAGTCCGCGCGGGCCTGCCGCGCAAGGTTGGGTGAGGCGAAGCGGTGTGCAGCAACGCAGAGCAGAGCTCAGAGGAGGAAAAGGTACTCCAGAGTTCATAATAAAGGGAGGGGGGTCTCATTTCGGGGGGGGTCTCTTCCAGGCTATCTTGGAGGGCCTGGTAGGTCTGGGGACGATGTTTTGGAGGGTTCTCCCACGGGGGAGGTCTGAAATGGCTTGTCTTGGAGGGTCCAGACCCCCTCCCTTTTATTACGTAATCTTGAGTGCGCAGCACCCCGCCGTTGCGGATGCAGCCAAGACGCTGAAAGAAGGAACAGTTTGGATTCGGAAGGGGCTCGATGTTCTTTACGTTCTTCCGTGGTTGTTCCTCTGGCCCTTCTCGTGCACCCAGGCCTTTTTGAAGCCACAGAGGGGCTTCGTTCCTTATTTAGCGTTCCTTATTTCAGCAGCTCGACTGAAAGAGTGCGGGGGTGGCGGGGACGTCGGCAGTCCGCGAGTCACTGCCGCAGGCGCCCGATTTTTGCAAACTTTGCAACGGGCCCGACAGGCGCCGATTTTCTCGTCGAAGCAATGTGGGCGGGTCGCGGGACCGGTCGCGTGCCCGATCGCGGGCCGGATCGCGGGCGTGAAGCGTGCAGTGTGTCGCTTTGCGCAAGACCTGCTGCTGATCGTCGCTTGGCTGCCTGCGGCAAGTCCCGCCACCGTGCCAGCCCAGCACTCTGGTGGCGACTGTTCGAGGGGATCCGGGAGGCCGTCACGTGTGGCACCTCGTGCCCCCAACCTTGGGAGATCCATGATGAGGAGGAGGAGGACGAGGACGACGACGAAGAGAAGGAGCAGCAGGAGAAGGAAGAAGAGGAAGCCCGTTGCATGTGACACCTTGAGTCTTGACTTCTCGAGGAGCTCTCAGGGAGCTCTTCGGGTCCGTTTGGGGCTGCCTTGGGCCCCTGTGGGGCAGTCCGGGGGGTCCCTTCGGGTCGCCTCGAGGCCCTCCTGGGTTGGGTCGTGGGGCTCTCGTGAGCCGTCTTGAGGCTCCTTGGCCGTATGGGGCGTGTCTTGGGGCGGTCGTGGGGCCATGTTGGCGCCGTGTTGGGCAGTGAAGGGGCCCTCTGAGGCAGGCTTCGGCCCCTTTGGGGGCCTTCTCAGGCCTGCGTAAGGCCGTCTTGGAGGCATACTGGGCCATCAGATGGCCCTCTTGGACCATCCTAGGGGGTCCTCGGAGGGGCCTCTTCGGCCCTCTTGGGGCCATCTTGGAGGTCTCTTGGGCCGTCATGAGTTGACGGGAGCCCGATAAGGTGAGAATGCGAAAACCTTGCAACCAAGAAAAGGAAGTGTTAGCCAGCGTGGACCCAAACCACTGCGTCATTGCACGATTGAGGTAGAAGTTATGCAGTGTAAGCTATGCCACGTACGTGATGTGGTGTGAGTTGTGGAGGTGGAAACGATGTAATGCAAAGTGTGTCGTGTAAGCTACGCGGTGCGAACTGGGGGTGGACGATCTGCAGCGTAAGATGTAGTGGGTCGACCTGCGAGGTGTAAAAGCGTAAGCTCTGTGGTGTGAGCTGCGTGGTGAACGCTGCGCTGTACGAGCTCGCGAGCCGGCACGGGCGGCAGCGTGGCGCAGCCTCGACATACCCCCTCAGGTTCGGCGCTGGACGAACCTCCCTTTAGAGTAGACCTCCCCTCAGTGAAAACGACCTGGGACCGAAGCCGACGGACCTGGACCCGCAAAAACTGCGGCCGCGGCGCCCTCTCCCGAACCGAACACGGCCAATTCCTCGACCGACGTGCCAGGGTAGGAGGTCTGCCCACCCCCGACAGGTGCGGGCCACCCGCGAGGAAACCACGAGGCGGCACGGGCGGCCGCGCGGCGCAGCCTCGGCACGCGCCCCCGGCGGAGCGCGGGGCGCCCCCCCCCCCGCGAGGCGGCCACGGGCAGCCCCCGTGGCCCCCCAGCCTCGGCTCAGGAGAGAAAAAAACACACAGACACAATTAATCCTCGATTCCCCAGAAAATATGGGAAAATATAGGAAGTGGTGGGGAAGACAGAAACCCGGAAAATATGGAAAAATATGGGGGATCTTTTTATTTGTGTGTATTTATTTGTGTGTCCCAGGGCCCCTTCATCGGCAGGCACCCCCTCCGAGGCACCGGCCGCTGCAGGATTTCGCGGGGTCTGGATTGACCCGGGTCCGAAGGATCCCGACGACGACAGTTCCTCGTGCCGTGGGGCAGGAATGCCTCGCGCGGCGCGCCACAGTCGCAGTGTCTGGTCCACACGTCCGCCCCCTCAGATCGGCGGGCGGCGACGTTCGAGCGGCGATGTTCCGACGAAAGTCCGACGCACGTCCGACCTAAGTCCGACGTAAATCCTACGTTCCTCCGACGCGGGCACCTTGGGCACTTTCCGTCGGGCTGCGTCGTCCGGGTGTTCTGTCCGGGCAAATCCTCTCGGCGGCCAAAGGGAAGCGCAGGTGCGCGCGGCGTCGCTGAACATCCTGTCGCTGCAGCTGACCAACTCCGCCGGGTCGGTGAGCACGCTGAACTCGCTCCAGGCCGCGTCGCTCAACCTTCGCGGTCTCCCCGGTTTAGCCTTTCCTTCCTCCATATTCCTCCTCCCCCCTCCTCCCTCCCTCCTCCCTCCCTCCTCCCCCCTCCCTCCTCCTCCTCCCTCGTCTTGCTCCCTCATCCTCCTCCCCCCTCGTCTCGTCATCGTCCTCCTCCTCGTTGGATTATGCTCCTCTTCGTCATCGTTCCCCTCCCTGTCTCCTCCTTTTCGTCGCCGCACTGCTGGTCGTCGTCGCTCTCTTATCCCCATTCTCCGCCTCCGCCTCCTTCTCGCTACGTTCCTGCCTCCTACTCACTATGAGCTAGCCTTCTCCTGGGTCACGTTCTGTCGCCCTCGTCGTCGTCATCCTGCTGCATGATCCGTCCCAGCACAGTGGAGTCCCCTTCCCATCAGTTGGGAAGTTGCCAGGTCTCAGGCGACTGCGATGTCCCCCCTGGGAGGGGATCCCGCCGCCACCGCTGGGCTCCCTCGAGGTGTCGGTCGAAGCGCGCCCCGGGAGACGTCCGGGGGCCGTTCTCCGGGGCTCAAGAGACGGGGGTCCATGCAAGCGGGGGTCAGCCAGGGCGAAGCCCCCTTCTGGCTGACCCGGGTTAGCGAGCCGCCCGTGGCCGCGAGGCGGCCGCGCATAGTGGCTGACCCGGGTTTCTGCGAAGGCCTGCGCTGCAGTTGTTTTTTCCTGCACTGCAGCTTTTTGGGTCTACTGCTGACCCGGGTTTGGATTGACCTGGGTCAGAAGATCCCCGAGTTCTCCACGACGCGTGCCGTCGGGCAGGCTCCGTATGCCAGTACAGTCGGCGTGCTGAAGTAAGGTCCATTTTGAACTCTGCAGGGGCTCTCGTTTCGTGGGTTTTCCGTAGGCCCAGGTCGGTGAACTTCTTTGTGGTTGAGGTTTTCCCTCGCCACAAGATCCCCCCTGATTATGGTGCGTTCCTTACGGTGGTATAGCGCGAGGATTGATTGGGGGAGAAGGAAAAGGGGAAAGGATTTCATTTCCATGGAACGATGGCATTTCCAGGTCGTCCACAGCTAATCGAAACCAAAGTTGAAGCCCTGCTCTCCCTCCCGTCATTCACTCATTTCGCGCGTGTTGATGCTATTGACTTGCGGATCGAAGAAGAAACCATTGCATAGGCATAACTTGTCGACGGTCCGCCTAGATTTGTTGGATCTGCGCTGGACCTCCCTCCCTGGCACGCGGAGCGCGCCAGGGGCGGTGTTTGGCTTTTTTGGGCACTATTTGGGGATTCATGTGGGCGTCTTGGGAGCTGTTTGGAGGCCTGGCAGAGCCTCTTGGAGGCAGGTTTGACGCGTCATGGGGCACGCTTGGTGGTCTCTTTTGGGCCGCTTGGGGCCTGTGGGGGGCCCCGTGGGGGGAAGGATGGGATGTTCGGTTCGTGTTCTATTCCTTTGCCTCTCGGGGGCCTCCTTGAGGCGACCTGTGGCCGTTTTGGGCCCCTCGTTGGGCCGTCTCGGACTGCTCAAGCCAGGGTCTCGCTTGAGGCATGCTCAGAATATGCTCCGACAGCGGGTGATGCAAACAGGCAAACCGTTTGGGACATCTTCGCGAATCTTGAAGTGTCCCCATTTTTGGCGCCACCTCATTTGGATGCACAACTGCTGCGCCTGCTTCATCGCGGTGAGCATTGGGCACCAAATGAGTATGAGTGAGTCTGATTCTGAGCATGGGAGGAGTATGAGTGTGAGTTAGTCCGAGGGTGGGCCGGTCCGAGAGAGAGTGAGTTTAAGTGTGAATACGTCTGACTTTGGGTGAGTCTGACTTTATGCGGCTTGGGTGTGAGTAACTCCGAACATGATTGAGTCTGACTGCGAACGGGTATGAGTGCGGCTGAGTCAGAGTATGAGTGAGTCTGAGTGTGAGGGAGTCTTAGTGTGTTTGAGTAGGAGTGAGTTCAAGCGTGAGTGGGTCACCATGGTTGAGGAAGAGGAGGGAGAGAAGGAGGAAGGGGGGAGGAGGTTCTCGGAGCCGTCTAAGTAACAATCACCCCATCCTGGGACATCGGGATTGACAAGGACCACCTCTTAGAATAGGGGGACAGCTCGGGGGGGGGGGGGGGCGGAGACGAGCAAGCCGCTTGGGGGGCCCAAGTGCCGCGCTTGCTAGATCGCGGGGAGCATTGGACCAGCAAGCGAGGGAAGTTGTGGAGCAGAAGCAGGTCAACCGCTTGAGGCATGCACCCAATCTGAGCGGTACTCTTGGAGTGTCCCCACCCCTGGTGGCTCCCCCTCGGGGGTGCCCAGCTGCCACACGCCTGCTATGTCGCGGTGCGCACTGGACCACCAGAAAAGTCTGAGTGGAGAGGATTGTGTCGCAGCGCGGGATTCTGAATGCGTGTGAGTGGGAGTGCGTCGGAGGCAAATTCCCGACGTGGATCTGAGTGAGTCTGAGTCTGATCTTGTCTGGTTGAGTAAGTGGTGTGGCCGAGTCTGTGTGAGGAAGAGCGGGTATGGCATGGACCTCGTGAAGAAGAGTGGGTCTGTGATGGGCCCCGTGATGGGTGTGAGTGATTTGAGTCTCTGAATGATATGAGAGTGGGGAAGAAGAACAGGAGGAAAAGGAGGCCTCTAAGTAATCACGAAAAACCATCTCAGGATATCGGGAATAAGGCACAGCTTGGGTTCGGAAGGGGGTTCTTCCATGGTTGTTCCTCTAGCCCTCCTCGTACACGCAGGCACTTTGGGGGCCAGAAAGTGGCGTCGATCTTTATTTCAGCAGCTAGATTTTACCCCTGGCACCCCGGGACTCTTCGTCCTCTCCTCTCCCAGTAGAAAAAGAAATTATCCATACAAAATAATAACAAGTACATTGCATAAACGTAGACTTTCACAGCTCCGCGTAGATTTCTGAAATCGGCAGTGGACTCCTCTCCCTGGCGCGCGGAGCGCGCCAGCGGCGGCGGCGGAGGCACCGCCTTGGGGGGCCCAGGCGCCAACCCAAGGAACCTGCGCGGAGTTTCAACATGTGTTTGTGTATGCATGTTTGTTTCCGATCTTCTTAGTCCCGCTTCATCCATCCTAAACCCATTGAATCGGGTTTAATTCTTGGCCGACTCTGGCTCAGTGGCGCCTTGATCGGGCTCAGTAGCCCTCATTCCTACGAAGACCTCCCAGGAGCTGCTTCCTAGAACCTCCCCGATCCTCCTCTGCCGCTTCCTCGATCCTCGATCTTCACCGCCTCCTCCTCCTCCTCCTCCTGCTTCTCCTCCGCCTCCTCCTCCGCCTCCTCCTCCTCTTCCGCCTCCTCTGTCCTCGATCCTCGCGTCTACTCCTCCTCCGCCTCCTCCGCCTCCGCCTCCTCCGCCGCCTCCGCCTCCTCCTGCTCCGCCTCGTCCTCTCCCCGGGAGGTGCCCGCCGCTCGGAGTGCAAGCAGCCTCGCCGCCCCGATGGCGCAGCGGGCGGCCACGCCGCCCTGGTGTGCAGGCGGGGGCCGGCGCGGGAGCAGCAGGAGGAAGGGCGGGCGATCTCGGCAGGGCGTCCCGCGTCTCCCTCCCCCCCCCCTCAGACATGCTCGCGACGAGACACGACGGAAGGTGTTGGCCGAAATTGTACGTCTTCGTTGGTTCTCGGCGGCTTTCCAGCCGCGGGATGCTCTCCGGCAGTTGCGCTTCGACGAGGGCATGTTGGGGTTGCCCAGATCGTCCCAGACGGCCGCCAGAGAGTCAGGGACATCATGTACTGAGGAATACCCCAGGCGGGAGGAAGACTGATTGACGAACGAAGAGTGTGCTGACAGGTTGCGCACGAGCAGGAGGAGACGGGGAATGTTCAGGAGGGGGGAGGAGTGGTTTCCTCTGGAGTGCTCCGACGAGCCGCCACGCTAAACCTTCTCTTGCTGCACATCCATAGTGCTGAAATGAGGAGCAGTTCGGGTTCGAAAGGGGCTCCCTGTTCCTCAGGTCCTGCCGAGGTTGTCGACTGCGAGCTGTTGTCAAAGAGGGCCGAACCTTCCGATCTCTCACAATTGGCGTTTGCTTTGATGCCATGGGCGTTATAACTAAGCCGTCCATGCCATGTTCGATCCCTCCCTTCGGTGTGTTTGCTGGAAGGCTCTTCGCTCGTCGGGATTCTTCGTATGAGGGCGGTGTTGCTGCCATCTATGTTAGTTTACGTGCCCCGTGCAATGTTGCAGCCGCAAGCGGCCGTACCTCACAGTGGAGACCCATGCCAAGAAACGCCCTGCTTGCCTCCAGGGTGCCCTGGGGCTCGTCTTTGGTTTCGACGGTTTTGCGGTGGAAAACGTGACGTTCCCGCACCAAAAATCAGTGGAGGTCTTGGGGTCTCAGGATGGTATCTTGTGGAAGGTTTCGTGTGGTCGAGCTCCTACTGAAAGGCAGCATGGCCTTCAGATGCGTGTGCCGCCGATGGCCAACATGAAGTCGGGTACGTGCCTCTACAGGAGGAATATCCGAAACTACTAACAAGTAATGTTTGGACGATCTTTTGATAATTTTGAAATGTTTGAGCATGCTTCGAGTCGTTTAATTTGTCCTCCGAAATTTGCCTGTAGGAGGACATGCCCGACCTAAGACCAGCACCTCGTCATTTGAAAAAGGAGGATTGGAACGAGTGTCACCGAATCGGGAACACATGCATCAACATAGTTGCGCCGCGCTCTGCGCAGCGGTCTTGGATCTGCATGTGGGCCCCCCCTGGCGGCGGCCCCGGCGCTCGGAAGGGATTGCGCCACCCAAGCACCGCAATGAGTGTTAGGGGGACGAAGAATGACACAATCATAATAACTCTGAGGTCCGCGAGGATTTCTCGGATCGGCGCTGGACCCCCCTGGCGGCACCCCCGGCGCGCCATGGGCACGCCCCGCGCGCCAGGGAGAGGGCGCAGTGCCGACGCAAGGGATCCTTGCGGGGCAAGGGATCCTCTTCTTTTGGGAGACAGGTAAAAGAGAATGGAGAGTGCGGGGGGAGGGCGTTGGTGGTGGTTCGGAGCAGAAGGAGAGGGGGAGGAGGAGGAGGAGGAGGAGGAGGAGGAGGAGGAGGAGGAGGAGGACGAGGACGAGGACGAGGACGAGGACGAGGACGACGACGACGACGACGACGACGACGACGACGACAGCGAGTGGCGGGGGGGAGGAGTGGATGGGGGGCGAGGCAGGGAGGTAGAGGTACAGAGAGGTATGTAGGGGGAAGGACGAGGGGGGAGGCACGGCAGGAGAACGTCGGAGGAGTGAGAAGCATTGGGGGGGTCCTCCTCCGTCCTTTGTTGCTCTCCTTCTCTTCGTCCTCTTCACCCTACACCCTCCTATTTCCGCACTCCTTCCCCTCGCTCAGTCCTCCTCTTCATCCCTCCGTCCGCTTCTCTCGTCCTTCCTGCTCCTGTCCTTCCTGTCCTCGCATTTCCTCCCCCCCCTTCGTATTTCATCCCCTCTCTTCTTCTCTCCCCCCCCCCTGGCGACGAAGGACGGCGACGAGGCCGCCGGGAGGTGACAGCACCTCCCGACCGAGTCCGAGCCCGAGCAAGAGCCCAGTTGGGCGGAGCAGCCACGCCACGACGGCCCCAGGATACGCGGCGCCCGGTCGATATTCCTCCGTCGTCTTTCTGCTCCCTGGTAGTTGCCGTAAGTCGGGCACGTCCCTCTACAGGAGGAATGTTCAAGGATGGTCAAAAAATGGTCTGGGGGCAATTGTTCTATTCTGTTTGGACCATGTTTGTGCATTGTTGGGCTTTTCTTGTTTTTCTGCCAAAATCAGCCTGTAGGAGGACATGCCCGGCCTACCCCTAGTCGACGCCCTCATCTCTCGTCGTCAGCCTCCCCCTCTTCCGCCCCTCTCCTTTCCCATCCTGTCTGCTGATACGTTGGGCAAGCTCTGGCCACGGAGCCGTAGCGTCAGGAGTCCTTGCTGCGGTCGCTACTACTCTTCCTCCTCCTCCTCCTCCACCACCTCCTTCTCCTGCTCCTGCTCCTCCTCCTCCTCCTCCTCCTCCTCCTCCCTCTCCTCCTCCTCCTTCTCCCATCTCCTTCCCGATCCTTCCTCTTAGTGCTGCTTCCTCGCTGTGTTCTGCTTCTGCTCCTCTTCCTCCCCCTCCTCCCTGCTCCGCGTCGTCGCCCTCGGAGCCTCCTCCCATCCCTCCACCCCGTCGGCGGCAGGTGTGGGAGCCTTGGACACCGAGGGGTGGCGTCAAAGGTGGGCGCGCTTGCGCCCGTCTGGGCGCGAGCTTCCTCCGGAAGGTGCCGTTCGCGGGCTGCTGGCACGGCTCCGGGCGCGAAGCGCCAGGCCACGGCGTCTGCCGCCGATTGCCGAAGCGCACCCTCTGCGGGCAGCCTTCGGGCCAAGCTCTTCGCCAGCTCGCAGAGTGGACCCGCGCAGCAGCGGATCGGCCCCCAGCATGCAGGCGGAGCACGACGCGGGCGGGTGTCGCGACCAGGGCAGCGGGTCGCCTCGCCCCGTCCGACGGGTGCGCAAGTCTGCCTTCGTCAGCACGCGCGGGTGTTGACGCGGGCGGCTTCAATCGGCGGCGCCCCAAAGGGGTGGCGCGAAGGGAAGGGGGCCTTCCATCGCAGGCGATGTTTCTCCCCCAATCCCCGAGTTTCGCCCAAAAAGTTTGGCCGCTCAGAAAAATGGAAAAACCCTGGGATACACCCCAAGGGGGCTATTCGGACGCACCCCTATCGAGGATGGGCACCCCCCCATCGTATATCCCAGGGTTGGGCCCCAAATTTCTGGTCCATTCGGAAACCCCACGAAGCCTGGGATAGGGGTCGACGTATCCCTTGTTATTCCAAGAGGGCTCATGCTTTCCAAGGAGCCCCTCCGCCTTCTCGGAAGGCCGCCCCCGTCGTGCCCCCCGCCTTTTGAGGGCGCCGCCGAGTCAACAGGCAGCGCGAGTCGCGCACGGACCTTCCTCGCGGCAGGTCTGTCGCCGTGCACGCCATGCAGCAGACGCGCCCGTGCAGGGCGCTCGCCCCTCGGCGCGTGTTGACGGCGGTGATGGCGAGTTGGGGCGAGTTGCACCGGGCACAGCCGATGCGAACGAGAGTACATCGGTGGATTTCAAGCGCTCGATCTCTCATTTGTTCGTCGGCGCACCGTTGAGTAGGGCCGAGGGTTAGAGAGCGCCTTCCTCTGCAGGGCCACCAAAAAGGGGGTCACGGAGGTCAAACGCCTCGCTTGTTCAGCCGACGAAGATGAGCAGAGCCCAACCGTTCGCGTATGTCCAAAGTGTTGGCTTGACGCCAGGTGTGGTGCATAAGTTTCAGCTTGACCGAACAGGTTGATTGCGCCCCCTGACGTCCGTTTTGGGTGTTCTGCAGACCTGACCCCATGCGCTGCCGCCCACGTTGCCAGGGCCATGGCCTGCTGCAGCTCGAGGCGGAACACTGACGCTCGCTCGACGGGCTGGTATTAGTACTAGGTCGGGCACGTCCCTCTACAGGAGGAATGGTCCAAACTAGTAGTTAAACACAGGGGACGATGTTTGGACTATGTTTGACTATTTGTCAGCATTTGTGGACTATGTTTTATTGTTCCTCCAGAATCCTCCTGTAGGAGGACATGCCCGACCTGAGGCTGGCATTCCCATGCCGTTCACGCTCAGGTGCTGGATCTCGATTGCTCGGTTGCTGATCGGCGTCGCGGGCGTGCTCTTTCAGGAGGGGAAAAAACACACAGACACAATTAATCGTCGACTCCCAGGAAAATATGCAAAAATATGGGAAGTGGGGGGGAAGACAAAAAAACCGAAAATATGGGGAAAATATAGGGTTTTTTTTTATTTGTGTGTATTTATTTGTGTGTCCCAGGGCCCCTTCACTCTTGAGTGCGGGGCAGCGCAGGCATTGCCGCACTCACCGCCGGGGTGACGCCGGGCATCGGCTCGCGCAGGGTTTGCGGCCGCGCGACGGGCCAGCCTGGTCGCCCCCGCCGCTCGGAAGGGATCGCGCCACCCAAGCACCGCGATGAGTGTTAGGGAGACCAACAATAACATACACCTTAGGCGATGCTTAAGAAAACCTAAGTTTTCGTCCAGAGTCTCGATTATTCTTAATTTTTCAATGTAAATCCACAGATGTTGATAGAAGTTCTGGGTTTTATTCAATTTCTGAGACTATGAATTTCTTAACCCATGATTTCTTAAGCATTTCGCAGGGTGTAAACATAAAAACTCGGAAGTCCGCGCGGATTTCTCGGATCCGCGCTGAACCCCCTTGGCTGCGCCTCCGGCGCCGCCCCAGGCGCGCTGCGCGCGCCTGGAAGGGTGGTCCAGCGCCGATCGGAGAAATAAATATTTGCGGACCTCCGAGTTTGTAATGTTTATATCATGTTTCGTTCCTCTAATGGCCGCCCATCGATGCACCGCGCAGGTCGCCATCGATGAACCCGCCACTCACATTTGACTGTCATCCAGGGCAGGCTGGAACACAGCTCACCAACTAGCAGGGCGTCGTTGCAGCTCCATTCAGGCTTTCATCGAATGTCTATCAAGTCTCCCCCCGTGAGAATCTGATGCCCCCCCCTCCCCTCCCTGCCGCCCCCTCCCAGAGGAAGAGCAAATGGAGGAGGAGGACGACGACACCCCCCCCTCAAAAAAACAGCCCCTGGAGCTCTCCTGGGGTGCGTTTTGACCAGGATCTCGGCGGGAGTCCAGCTGCGGCGACGAGCAGTCTCCCAGGGGCCCGCGAAGACCCTGAAACACCCAAGATTTCCATCTGACGACGGCGGTGAAGAAGACGACGACGACGACGACGACGACGATCACAACGATCACGACGACGAAGACGACGACGACGACGACGACCTCGACCACGACCACGACGACCACGAC